TTCGCGTTTCATCCCTAACTTCGCCACAAAAGTTCAACCGCTGTTTGCTGCCCAATCAAGGATTCTCTGGACTTCCTCCTGAGGAACTCTTCACTGATGCGTCGTGTGCTAGTACCAGGGGTCATAAATGCAAACCGATGAAGAAAAAATGTAGGTTAGGTGTGAGGTCCAACTACTTCAGCAATAGAATTGTAAATAGTGGGAATAGACTTTCCACGGAACTAGTCAATCTGCCTAATGTTCACGCCTTCAAACTGGCTTTGGATAAGTGGATAGAACTGTTCATAAAGTAGGAGTACTGAACAAGATGCGAATGTTAGGTTCATAACGGTTCTGCGCAATATGGAACGCTTTTAAATTAGAAGTCTGTCACCGAAACTAAACTCCAGTGACATCTTCTTTTGTCAGCCTCTTGTAGACCTTATTACTGAGAAAAGATGGCACCAACATGTATGCTCTCCCACCAGATTTCGCCCGGGCCAGTCCCCTTCTCTACTCGATTTGGTGATAACGAACAATCGGCACCAAATCGACGAGGTCAACACTCTCTGCCCACTTGGTAAGAGTGACCACTCTCTCCTGAGCTTTGACGTCATCGTTCACTGGCAATCTGATAAGTTAGCACCAAGAGCTTTGCGGTCCTTCAAGCGGACCAACTTCGCTGCTCTAAGAGATGACTTGGCAGCAAATCTGACTTCTGCTAACCTATCTTCATAAACAAACGGACTCAATGATCAAATTGAGAACGTACTCCGAACAGGCAATTCCTTGTTCATTCCCGCTGCCCTCCGCTTCCACGTTCAATTCGTCGGCTTCTGGACGAACGGAACGTCCTCTTTGCAAGGTACCAGCTCACAAACTTGGATAGTGAGGCGGATAATTTCAAACTTATCCGGAACCTATGCAAGAGTAAGATCAGGGAATTCTTTAACCGGCAACAAAAAGACAACTTATTCAGAGCAAGAAGAAAACCCTCCTGCCTCTTCAAACTTTTCCGCCATAAAAGGCAACCCAGTTCTTCTATTCTAGCCCTGAAACTTTCTAACGGCTCCGCAATTACCTCACCTGAAGAGGT